TGGCGCACTACAATGGGCCGGCCCGTTTAATCATTTCAGCAATCCTGGTTTTGGGAACCTTCTAGATGTTTACGGCCAGGTTTTTTCCGGATTTGGCAACTTTCTACAAGGTTGCTGAACCGATTTCCCTTTTTTCTTTCCTTTTTACGTTTGTTTTTATCTTTTTTCCTTTTTTTCCTTTTTCTTTTCTCTGTTTATTTTTCATTATGATTTTCTTTTTTATGTTTGTTTTTCTCCATTTCTTTCCTTTTAATTCTCTTTCTTTTTTTTCTTCATGTTTGTATTCCTTTTTATTTATGTTTTCTTTTTGTTTTCTGTTTCCTTTTTTCCTGTTTATTTTGTTCGATACCAATATTGTTCAGAACTTCAAAAACAAATCTCGTTTTCCAAAATTTGTTCACAATTTAAAGAAAAATATATGTGTTCCAAAAAACGTTCTTTTTTGAATTTTGTTTACAATTTCAAAAAAAAATTTGTTTCACAAAATGTTCAAGAATTTCAAAAAACATTGTTGTTTTCAAACTTTGTTTCTAATTTCAAAACTGTTTGCATTTCAAGAAGTTAAGGAATTTCAAAAAATGTTCTCATTTTCAAAATATGTTCACAATTTCAAAAAACTGTTCGTGTTTTAAGAAAATCAGGAATTATGAAAAATGTTCTCATTCTCAAAATATGTTCAAAATTTTTGAAAAAATATGTTCACACTTCAAAAAATGTTTGTGGCCTCAATATTTCTTTTCAAATTAAAAAATCAAATGTTTCAAATTTTGTTCGCATTTCCAAAAATTATACAACTATGAATTTTGTTCGCATTTTAAAAAAATGTTCATATTCTCACGTTTTGTACATAATTTAAAAAATGTTCTTGTTTTCAATATTTGTTCCAAAATTAAAAACTATTCGTGATCTAGGAAAATATTTGGTAATTTTAAACAAATGTTCAGTATTTTTTGCAATTTGTTTGGTTTTTCGGAAAATGTTCAGTTTTTTATTAAATGTTTTCATTTTAGAAAACAGTTCAGGATTCGAAAAACAATTCCTGTTTAGAAGTAACAGAATTACAAAAAGATTCACTTTTCAAAAAAAGTGCGTCATTTCAACACCGTTCAGAATTTTCAAGAAATGTTTTCCAATTGTGAACCTCTGTTGTATGGTCTTATTTGGTAATTGTTTTTGCCGCACGATAAAAAACAACAGGCGGCACATCGGTGGGTCGGCTGACGTTGAGGACTGCTTGAGTGAAGCCTCGCCATTTCTGCCGCAGAATGCGGCAGATAGGTGGTTCACTGGTGCATGCCTATCTATAAATTAATACTAAAATAGTTGGCTGGGCTGATGGGCTCCACAGTAGTAGAGATTCTGAGCTCCTAGGTGAAAACACCGTGCTCCGGGATGACGACGTCGATCTCGGGTGTTGCTTCCCTTTTCTCGGTGTTATTGTGGGTCCAATCATGGTGTCAGGGCTCCTACATGAAAAAGCCTAGTTCATCTTCTCGGGCTCAATGGCAGAGGCACTTGTGTCATTACCCTCTTGAGTTTGTCGTCACGAAGCCCTGGTACCTTAGCTGGTCAGTGACTTCGAGCATGCTTTATCCCTAACATGTAGTTCCCACGGCTCTAACGTGGGGTGGCCCCAGTGATCTCATATCTTATACATGTGTCCCTGTGATCTCTGTTCTCAGTCCTTGTTATCTCTTGGCAGGAGCGGCGCTCCATGGCCCGGAGCGAGTGGGCAGTCTCAACAATAAATCGGCCCTTTCGAAGATGGCTCGGTGTGTTTGGTACTACGGTGTCTGATGGTTTCTCAAGACGGCGCGTTTTTGGTCCTGTTCAGTAGTCTTGGGTGTCTTTTGTTAGATGTGGTGTTTCCTCTTCTCTCGTTCAATGTTGGGCTAGTTGCACTTGTACCGCTTGCTTGGATGCCAGACCAACCGTATATCCTGCAGAATAAGTCACCGATAAGAACCTCATAAGGGGAACCTTCTTTCCTTGTATCATCCAGCTCTATACTTGATGGAAATATTGGATTAACTGTCTGCTATCATCCAACTCTTCAAGTGTCATGATCAACGGACAGATGGGGGACATAATTAAACTACAGAGTGGCCTAAGACAAGGAGATGCTTTATCACCATATCTTTTCATTCTCGTGGCCGATATTCTACAACAAATGTGCATATCTGAATATAAGAACTCTTCAGCATCCTCTGAAAGTTGATGGGTCTTTTCCAGTATTGCAATACGCAGACGACACCCTGCTGCTGATCAAAGGCACGCAAGAGTAGGCACAAGTTGTTAGGAGGGTGTTGGACGCGTTCTCAGCCTTCACTGGTTTGCACATCAACTTCAACAAGAGCACCTTTGTGCCGGTTTGCATGGACGAAATCTCTTCCAAGAGGGTGCCTGACATAGTGCAATGTCCAATATCCTCTTTTCCATGCACCTACCTGGGTTTACCCCTATCCTCGTAGAAAATCAATCATGGGATGTTGCTTCCTGTAATTCACAGGGTTGATCGAAGGCTATCTGGCCTGCTCGCTACCTTCCTCTCCTGGAGCGGCCGTCTCATCCTCATAAACTCTATTTGCCTCCATCCCCAACTATTTCATGGCATGTTTTATATGGCCTCAACAATCACTAGACAAGCTGGAGTGAATCTTGTGCGGCTTTCTTTGGCAATGCAAGAACTTGGCAGCCGGTGGGCACTGTCTGATGGTATGGATTTCGTCACTCTCCCAAATCTTAATGGAGGGCTTGGTCTCCAAAATTTAAAGGAGCATAATTTGCCAATAATCTGTAAACTCACTTCTAATATTATGCAAGGCAAGGAAGCTCCATGCTACGAATGGTTCGCCAAAAGATACTGCAGCAACAGACTCCCAGACAGTATACAGAGTGGGGACACTCCCACTTGGCGATGCCTGCAATCAACCATACAGCTTGTTATACAATCTACCCGGTGCGTACTGGGAGAAGGATCTAGAATCTCTTTTTGGAAGGATTGGTGGCTTGATTGCTGAAGAATTCAATTCTCCTTCCCATTGCTCTTTTCTTTTGCCCGAACCACAAGTTGCTCTGTTGCATCATAGTTCAATGATGGAATTTGGGACATAAAGCTACATCCGAATTTGACTGCCACAACCAACAAAGAATTGCAAGCTCTAAATGTTATTTTTGCTAGAATCCAACCTATGGAGGACCATGCAGATCTCCGGAGGCCAATCTGCCAGTATGACAAACCAACAACATCTTTCTCTATGAGATGATCACGTTTAAGGGAATAGAGTGCCCCTTCAAATACAAGATCTGGGATAAAGCTATTCCAATAAATACTGAATATTCCTCTGGTTGGAGGTCCGTGGAAGATTGAATACAAGGGACAATATGCTGAAGAAACAATGGAGGATCAGCACACACAATTGTTGGGATTGGTGCCTAGCCTCAGAAACTATATGCCATGTCATTCTGAGATGTCGATTAGCCGATGTGGTATGGCATAGGGGCGGCCTGCAGGGTATCGCCAAAACCTGCATGGACTTGCAAACTTTCATTTTATCTGCGGTGGCCATGTCCGCACGACAATCTCTGGCACATCCTCTTTGCGGCGATTGATGTGGCTCTCTGGATGGCCCAAAATGCTCTTGTCTTCAGGATAGAGCGACGGACAGCAAGCCGAGCTTTCAAAGAGATTCATCAGCTTTTTTATCTCTGGAAGCATAGAGCCCGGCGAGATCAAGACATGACTACCTTGTGTAACGATGCTGCTATTTCCCCCCAAGCCTAACCCCCTCTTCTTTCGCCCTTTATGTTTCGTCTAGGCTTGGTGGTGGCCTGCTGCACATGTTGTGCTGCGCCCACACCACCTTCATGTAATATGACTTTCGTCATCCGGGATTTTACCCTGTTTTGAATGTAAAAGAAGCGTTCTTTTCTTGTAGCAATAAGTATTCTACACGTCATGTGGTTTGTTCGGTAGCATAGATGATGTGATAATACGTCTTGGATGCGAAATTTGATGATTGGTGCTGGGTTTCGTGGGTCAAATCGATAGCCAAAGCCTAAACCCCGAAACACGTGGGCGCCGCACTTTACCATTCCATGCCCGATGCAGCATGATGAGATTTCAGGTGCCTAGCCACATCATCGACCGTTTATCCCATAGGAGGCGTCGCGGAAAGGCTCCTTGGTTCCTCGGAACAATAATAAGTATTCTAAAGACCGCGTTGGAATTTCTCATGTCCACTTGTTTGTGTGACTTGTAAATCCGTACGTGCAATTCACGTTCATATTCGGTAGCATATTAACTGTTACGCTAAACGTGTTGAGCGCTCATCATTGGAGCAGCCTGTGCCATTGGGTTGACCCGGTTTGATGGCCAAGATTTGTTGGATCTACCGTTTGGATACACACACATATTGGATGCAGTGGATGATTGATTGGTTGAACCATGATCAACACCATGTGACACAAGGAACATCGCCAGTTGTGGCACTGCATCTGCTGCGTGCTTGTCTAGGGTTCAGAAAACAGACCGCTCTGCAAGGATGCTTGTTCATGATCCATGCTAAACGTGCTCAAACTGTTTCACTGTGCTTCGACAGAGGAACGGAAATCTACTCCCCACAGGAAGTTTAAAATTTCTGAGAAAAGCAGAGGGGAATTTCGTGTCTCCTGCTGTTCTGTGCACGCGAAATCGATGAGCAAACAGAATCCATTCTCCGTGAGTCGATGAGCAAACAAGTAATCTGTTGCTGAGGCCGCTGGAGTGCAGTTGAGCAGAATTCCTTCTCCGTGGGTCGTGGCGGTCGCTCAGCACATTGATTGCCACTAAATGGATGCCGGTGGCAGCTGAGCTGAGCTGAGGTGTGACCTCGATCCGCCCCAATTAAACCGCCGCGGACCCGCCCACGGGCAGCCGCAGCTATCTATAACCCCGCGTCGTCTCCTCCGCACCACCAGAGATCCGGCCGGCGGCCCAAGAAGAAGAAGCAGCGGAGACGATGGCGGCGGTGAAGCGCGCCTACCTCGCCGCCTACAACTGGGCCGTCTTCTTCGGATGGTTCGTCTTCGTCCCGCCGCTGCTTGATTCCTCTTTCCCGCCGTCTAGTTCTTGATTGACAGATTGATGAGGATCCGTGCGCTCGTGGGTGCAGGGCGCAGGTGCTCTACTTCGCCGTGGAGGCGCTGCTCCGGTCGGGGCACGAGGCCGTGTACGCCGCCGTCGAGCGGCCGCTACAGCTCGCGCAGACCGCCGCCGTCCTCGAGGTACACCGCCCGCCGGATCTTGCTTCCTTCTCTCGATCTGTTCAGTTCTGAAATCTGAGCTCTGCATCCTGCGTGTCCCATGCCAGATCCTTCACGGGCTGGTCGGGCTGGTGAGGTCGCCGGTGTCGGCCACGCTGCCGCAGATCGGGTCGCGCCTCTTCGTCACCTGGGGCATCCTCTGGAGCTTCCCCGAGGTACTGTGTCCTTCTCCATGGCGCCTCTCTCTGTACTTCTTGCTGCGTGCATGCCTCATCCTCTGTTTTCCTTGCTCTGTTTTCTTGTACGGCTTTGCAGACCAGGACACACATCCTGGTGAGCTCCCTGGTCATCAGCTGGTCCATCACCGAGGTATGTATGTATCCACCACTGACTTCACTGAGATCATCATGCATGCTCCTGATAATCTAGAAATTACCCTTCTTCAAATTAACTGTGTTATCGAGCCGCGAAACGCAGCTGTTGCTGTTAGACTAGCTGAAGATGTGCTCCTGAACTAATGCAATGCGACGATGATACTTGTGATAGGAATTTCACACAAAATCGCCGCAGCCTAATTCGCTATACTGTCAGTATTACGCCAGGGTAGTGCTGAGTCAACTAGAAGTCTGAGGCACTATCACTGTCTGTCAAGATTTTTTTTTCTTCAATCATGCACTCTATTCTCTCAATATTAATTGCAAATTAGAAGGCTCGGGGCAGCAATGCTGATGTACTAGAAAAGAACACTAGAAACTTGGATGGAAAGAACCTTGGATGGATAACAGAGAAATTATGCTGCATATTATTATCTATCAAGTCCAATAGGTTGCCAGAGTCATGGCATATGGTCCATGGTTTGTTAAAATGCGTTGATCCCAATTATCTGATCACTTGGTTGATATGAACGGATGGTAAATTCTGCAGATTTCAGAAACCTAGTTAGTTACTCTAGTGCTGGGTGTTGCAATGCAGATTATTAGGTACTCTTTTTTCGGCACGAAAGAGCTGTTTGGATCTGCCCCATCATCGCTTCTATGGCTTAGGTGAGGCTACATCACACTGCTTCAACTCTGCATAAGGTTGCAGATTGTAAGTCAGCGCAACATTAATTAATTATATAAAGTATGAATCTTTACATCGAATCGATCCTGGATGTGTGCAGGTATAGCTCATTCCTAGTCATGTACCCAACCGGCATCAGCAGCGAGGTTGGTTTGATATATATTGCATTGCAGTTCATCAAGGTATTATCTTTTCTGATGAAATCCATTAGAGCAATTGATCAATGCACTCGTAAACTGTACGAATGTTGCTAATTTTCACGTTTTCACATTTTAATTGATAATGGCAGGCATCAGAGAAGTACTGCATCAGAATGCCCAACAAATGGAACTATTCATTTGATTACTTCTATGCATCAATCCTGGTACTCCTAGTTTACGTCCCAGGTACCTTTTCCTGTCCTCGCCGACGATTCATGTCTCATTCATTAGCACCTAGTGTGTGTACGCTTACCATATTAACTTTGGGTACAGGAAGCCCACATATGTACACCTACATGCTTGGGCAGCGTAAGAAGGCGCTTGCAAAGTCAAAGACCGCGTAAATCTTATCGATATGTCTTACAAAATTCGGTGACACATCATTGTGCTTCTCATCTACGTCAGCAAATCAAAAGTCTGATCTTGTTGGGCACTAGATTATTAAACTCTGTGTCATGTGAATGTGGTTGTTGCTGAATTTGCATTTGGTTGCTAGATACAATGTCAAACACTAAAGACCAAAATTTCGTTTGACGTAAACCTTGCTGAACATAAGCTTTGCCTACTACTCTCTCTGTCCTGAATTACTTGTCTTAGATTTATCAAGATACGACGTGTTTAGATACATCCGAATCTAGACAAATCCAAGACAAGTAATTTGGGACATGTTTTTTAGGTGTAGAATAAATACCACAAAGATATAGCTACAAAAATTCTCATAACTAATAACTACAATAATTCTCATAACTGACATCTTTAGTTTCAGTATCCAAGAGATTGATGCCATGTGATTCACTTAAGAGGGATAATTAAAATTTATAATATCCTATCCTATCCTATATTGTATAGACATCTGGCTCCGGGGGGAAAAGCCACATTGTACATCTGTACCAAAGGTCCCTCTGCGGCTGGCTTATGATCTTGGGTCTCAGGTCGAGCACCTCGCCTGTGTCGGCAAAACAAACTGCATCCTTCTCTATCTCTCCAGATGCATGAATGGACTTGCAACAGTATCTGCTGATGAAGAGTGCTTGGCCACATAGTCCATCCTTCACCGGCACCCATGCCCCCATGGCGACATTGGCCTTGAACACGTCAGCGTTGCGGGTGTACCTGCCACTATGTAGAGAATAATACTGTTTCCGTCTCACCATGAGCAACTTACCAAGAGACTCAACGATCTGCCAGGTAGTGATGGAGAGCTCTGCATAATGGATGCCTTCTTCAATTATATTGCCCACACAGTCGTAATCATGCTCTCCATTTATAGTGTCGCGGTCTTGATCGCCACTACCCTTGGCAACATATTTGTGATGTTTCTCATCAACGTCACTCCACAAGTCATAACCATCATCAATCTTGGATGGGTATGCCCACACACGGAAGCGATCGACGTTGCTCCACACTTTAGAACGATCATCGGTCTTGAATGGGTGCCTTATGACACGCTTGGTTCTAGTGACGGTGGGCATGCCGCTGGCATCGAAAGCAATATCGAGGTAGATGAGGTCCTCAGCCTTGGTGATCCCGTAAAGCCTATCTCCGATGAAGGCAATGTCAATGATGTATATGAAGGGAGCTGATCGTGGCCTTGGCAGCCACACGCCCTTCCCTGGCCGGACCAGGATGATCGGATAATTTGTGTTGCTGGTCAAAATAGCGATGATGTCATGCGGGGTTGACCGCATGAGCACCTTGCGGATCTCGGAACTCACTGAGACATTATTGCCGATAATGGCGTCTAGCTCGGGGAGCGGCATAGTCATGTCGTAGAAAGGATTGTGCAAGAGGTAGCTATGCATTTTGCGGTCATTGTTGACCACAACGCGATGGAGGGTGATCCAGTCGTCGGTGGAACCAATGCATCTCACATTCTCAGGTACGGAGGGGAGGCGGCGGCTGCAGGTGTCGGAGCTTGTCATGAAACGGCTGTACGTGAGAAGGATCCATGGCAGGCGTCGGGGTGGGCAGGGGAGGTGCTCACATGCTGTAGCGCGCCAGGAACGACACACCGCCTCAACCACGCGGTGGGCACGGTACGCCGTCCGGAAGGAAGCACGGTCCACCGAGTCCGTCATGCACCATGAACGGTACGCCGCATGGAAGTGACCCCGGTCGACGGAGTCCATGGAGTGGCGATGAGAAGGGCACGCCGCTCGGAAGTAAGGCAGGCTGCTAGGCAGGGAGGAGGCGAGGCGGTCGATGACGAGGCCTAGTACGTCAGGTGGGAGCTCGGACCACATCGGCCAAACTCGGCGATGGCATGGATCGGCTGGCCCCTTGAGCACTTTGAGGACCTTGAAAATCCTCAAGGTATCACCAGTAAGAGCATCCAGCTTGGCCATGTGAGAGAAATGATTGTGCAAGAGGTAGCTATGCACATCACCGACGACAACGCGGCGGAGGGCGATCCAGTCGTTGGTGGAACCAATGTGTGCCGGACGGTGGCGGCACGAGCTGCTGTGGTCGGAGCTCGTTATGAAATAGGGGTACGAGAGAACAATCCACGGCCGACGTCGGGGCAGGCAGGGGATGTGCTCATTCGCGGCGGCGGGCCACAAACGGCACACCGCCTCGACCATGCAGTGGGCACGGTACGCCGCCCGGAAGCGAGCGCGGTCGACGGAGTCTGCCATGCGCCAGGATCGGTACATCACACCCAAGTGAGCGTGGTTGATGGAGTCCGCCGTGCGCCAGCAACGGTACACCGCACCGAAGTGAGTATGATCGATGGGGTCTGCCGTGTGATGGTGGGAAGAGCACGCCCGCCGCAAGCTGGCCAGGATATCTAGGAGCGCGCGTAGCAGCCAATAGAACGCAGACCAGAAGAGCAAGCAAGAGCAGACTGCCGACCAGATGCCGGCGGCGGATGGGAGGCCGTCGCTGACGAGGCCTAGGATGTCACGCGGGAGCTCGGACCAGTGACACCATGGCGGACTCGACGACGCCATTGATCGATTGGTCGAGCTACTAGGTGATACTCCTAGATCGGACCGGATTGAGCTGCAGATGCTCTCGTCAATGTCCTTCCGCCTTCTAGGTACAGATCCAACGGATTTTTTCTCGAGGGAGATTATTATTTAACCTAAAAGAGAAGTTGTTACCGGAATCTTTTTTTCTCTAAAAACGGCCTCCTTGATTGAATGGGCCTACGTACTTGGGCCAGATTCTAGCTTTGATTTGTTTCCTAATAACGATTCCCAATTTCTCTTCCCGCAAAAGAAAAAAGAGAGAGAGAAACGGTTCCAATATCTCATATCTGATCCATACTTCCAACTTCCAAGAAAAATCTCTTGTCCCGCAAGAAAAATATCTTGTCCCCGCTTGAGCTACCATACTTTGTTGGATTTACGACAGACCCCCCTATCATAGTTGTCCCTATAGATATAGATATCGCCCTGGTGTTATTAGTACACCTACCCTTAGCTATCAATATCAAAATCCCTACTTGTCTTTGGGTTCAACAATATAGAGTACTTCCTCTGCTAAGGCTTTGGTTTCATCGTATTGACTATGAAAGGTACGGTGTAGGTTCCCACGATCTTTCCTACGATTTCTACGAATAGATGACTACGACTAACGCAAGAGGGATTCCTGCGACTAACGCTAGAGCAAAGGGAAAGGACAATGAAGCAGCAATAAACAGATTGAAGAGCTATTAGTATAGCAAGTATTAATTCAAAATTTAGTTAGTTTGGAAAGACTGCTTTGCCTGGATTGATGGAGAGCCTGGAAGCCTTGCTTCTCCACGTCTGATCCATACTTTCAACTTCAAAGAAAATTCTCTTGTCCCTCAAGAAAAAAAAAACTCTTGTTTCTTGTAAATAGTTTTGGACTTTTGTTGGATTTGTTTCGAACTAATAAGTGTACCAATGTTTTTCTTGTCCAGTTTGGGTTTTTGGTGATGGTAGCTTTTCTTTCTGCCCTACGAATAGAAGCACCAATATTCTACTGCAACAAACATATTTTCCGTATATTGATATTTTAAGAGCGGCAATCCGCTGGTGAGCACTGTAGTAATAAAATCACCAAATGCAGGAGACGGGTTTTACCTCCTCCTGTAGGAGGACCTGGGTAAATATCAGTCTCATGCCTTACCATATCGACCCGCCGTTTGCACTCCCATCTGAACAAATATGTCGTCATCGATGGCACTGCCAGTCATGAAACCCTAGCAGTTGGCGCACCAGGTTGGGGCGGCATGTGCAGATCTACTGAACTAATTGAGATGCCCCTTCCAAAGCAGAAAATCGGTGGCCTCTTGTCAGGATGTTTCCCCATCGGTCCACACAAATTGGTCTCCAATGAGACGGGGAGTTATATCCTCGTTGTCCCATTTGACAACTATCATATCTTCCAGTTCAGGTGCCTGAGCTTCATGGCTGACAACCTCTGTGAGTTGTGTGGCTGCAACGGCATACCCTGTTGTGCGGAGACCCGGACACATGCCTCACAATCAGGGACGGGCCTACAGAACAAGAATCCCGTACAGCCGAGAGCTTCATAACCAGAAGGCGCCAGGCAACAGAGACGCAAGGCACCGCAGTGTGAGAACTACTCCCCAAATAGAGGATGCTCCCTTCAAGGCCCGAGGTCTCGACACCTCACTAGCGAGTGTCAGTTTCCTCCTCAGGTACCTCGTTTGAGGTGTCCCCTTGACGCCTCACAACAAGGAGAACAATGGCAAAGGAAGCGCAGGGCC